TTTCTGCGTTTCCTTGGGCCGGTACGGAAATTGCGCTTGAAAGGTCATTTGAAGATGTTTTGTTGCCGGCCGCCGATTGTTGAAATGCAACATTTTAACAACAATTAAGCACGCAATGTGAGCGTCATGCTTAATTTTGTGGGTTTTGTAATTTTTTGGCCAAAATATCGCACCACAACCGACAAATTCCACCATTGCCAAATGCAAGGCGACGGGTTTTTTTCGGTTTGGCTGACGAAAAATATCCATAATTCATAATCAGTGCCTCTTATTCGCTCTGTTTCACTCTCGCACTCTCCCACTCCTCTCGCTCTCACAGCAAAATTGTAGCAGACGGTTTATAATTTAAATTCACTTTGAATTTATATATACATACGTTCGTTTTTTTTTTCCATTTGGTTTCACCCATTGTGCGAATGTTTTCCTAGCTGAAATGAAATAAATTCATTAAATGAACAGAACGCAGCAACAAAGGGATATGAAATCATCGCCGAATTCAGACAATGTTTCACAAACAAAAGCTCAAGTTGTCGTTTTTATATTCAAGATGTGAAAATCGCTTGAAAATTAATTGGCTTGTCGTAAGTTGTGTCGGTGCCGTTACTGTTTGTCTGTTTGTTTGCTGCTTTTTTTCTTTTTTTCTATCTGGAAAAGCCACCAAAACCACATCCGTTTTCAAGTACCGACGTAGCGAAAAGAAAAGAAAAATTCGTTAACAGAACAACAACTCACAGCTCAACGAAATGATGATCCAGAGTGGATGCTGGCTGAGTAAAATGCATGCGTGTGTGCACTTCATTCATGGTAATTTAATGCCATACAAAAACGATTAAATAACAAATTCTCAAATGGTCTCACATTACTCGACACCACACACACGCTCTCTCACTCTCTCTCTCTCTCTCACTCTCGCTCTCCCTAATATATATTTATTCAATAAATTCATTTAAATAATGCACTGAAGATTTGAATGTGCCGGCGACGGACCCATTCGACCAGAATATTTTAGCTGTGTGTGCGTGTGTTTTTCTGTGGAGCAATGTTTCGCCTGAGTAAATAAACGAGTGCATTGAACAAGAGCATGGCTGAGAGTATACAAGTTTCGTCCTTTTTTCAATTTCAAACCGAAAAACTTTATCCAACGACACAAACTGAGAGTGTGCAGAATAGCAACAAAAACAGCAGCCGCAAAAGCAACCAAAAGCAGCTCGACAACAGCCAACGAGAGAGCTGAAACACACCAACGAGGTGCCGCTGATGCTGCTGCCTATGAATTTGTTGCTGTCGCTGCTCGTTGTCGACTCATTGTTTGCACTAGTTTTCGGGAGGAGAATTGTGAAACAAGAAGTTTAAGTAATTTCCGTTTAGTTACTGTGTGGTTTTGACAATTTCAACTAAATAAATTACAAATATCTCAACTATCTTATTCTCTCACCGTTGCCAATGATCTCACACTCACGGTGCAAACGGTGGCAGCAACGGCGGCGGCTGCTTCAGCGACGATGACGGCGGCTTGAAAATCGGCATCTCGACGATCGTGGTTTTGTTGCTGGTTTTACTGTTGCTCAATTTTAACAAGCGAACAGAAGCGAACCGGAGTTTTTGCATCGAGACAGAGAGAGAGAGAAAGAGTTGACAAAATTGTGTACAAGAGCAAGTGTGATAGCGACAGACCAAAGAGAGATAGCTAAAAAGACAGAAAGAGAGAGCACAAATGGCAGAGTGATTCAAGAATCTGTTCGAAAAAAAAGCCGTTCATTTGATGCCATTCATATTTGGCATCCATATCACACACTTCACAGCCTCATATTCTGTGGCACACACACACACACACATCGGATGTTTGTGAATGGTTCTGTGCTTTTGTTTCTCATCAGTGCAAACTATTTTATCGCAACACCATAATATTCCAATGGAATATTATTCCATAGCGTAAAGTGAAAAGTTCGCTTGATGAAAAGCGTACATTTATTTTCCGGCACAGAGTCAAACAAATAAAGTCTCGTTCGCCTGGCTTGAGTGTCGAGTCAGAGAGAGGAAGAGAGAGAGAGAGAGAGAGAGAGAGAGAGAGAGAGAGAGAGAGAGAGAGAGAAGTGAGCCAAACCACACCACACACACACCGAAATTGCTACTTAAATTTTTAATGTGTTTTATGAGCGGGTCTTTAAGTTGCCACGCCAGCCATCATTTTGCCATGAATAAGTGAAACGAATGTGTGTGTGTGTGTACCATTGCGGTGTTATTAAATTCTAGAAAACTAGATGCAAATTTGGTTCTCTCTCAACTGAGCCAGCCAGCCACATCGAGCTGCAATATTTGTTGTCGCGCTCATTGCTCTCGCATTTTTCTAATAACATAATTTTCCCTCGCTTGCTACATAGGCTTGGATATTGTGTGTGAGCGGCGCGTGTAGATAAAGTGCAGCTGTTTCTCATCATAAAGTGTGGTACTTTTATTTTAAAAAGCTGCCGTTTTTCACTTGGCGTTTTCAACTATTTTCGCTTGTCACCGACCGAGCATGAGGGGGAAAAAAGCGAACCAACCAAAGCACATGAATCCACACCTGATACACGCACTCTGAAATCGCTTAAACCATACCGAATTTCGATGCCATCCGTTTTTTTTCGCTTCACATTCACTTGCTGTCTTAATTCCATTTGTTCATCCTTCAATTAATTTTAACCTAAAGCCAAGCCGCCACAAAACATGCGACTCATTCCGAGAAAAAAATAAAAAGTTTTACGAGCGTAAAACGGACTTTTCCGCACAAGTATTTTTTTAAAGTTGACGTCCTCAAAGTAATCATGTAAAATGACCCATAAAGTATATTTTTAAATGAAAAAAAGTTGGAAATAAAAATTAAAAAGAAGACCATCATGGTTGACCAATCATTTAACACGGCTAACGATAAGAAAATGATATAAAAAACCAGAAAATGCATTTTGAAATGAAAAAAGTTGAAAAAAAAATTCAAAAAAATATAGAAAAAAAGTCAATCATGGTCGGCCATCGTGTTATAAATCATTTAACACGGATTAACATGATAAAATCGTGTTAAAACAAATCAAATCAAAAATCCGTTCTATGATAACAAGAAAAGAAAAAAAAATCCAAAGGTCCCCCCTTGGGTGAAATTCTATGACATCCGAAAATTACCAGATGAACTAGTCCAATTTGGCCCAACTTTTGATACATCCAAGGTATTTACTATTAGTGACTCCTGGCCAAATTTGAGCGAAATCGTTCAAGCGGTTCGAAAGTTATCGTGGACACAACAAAAATTAGCACACTTTTTATCACGTCGATCGCTATACTTTTCTCACACACTTCGTGTGCGGAAAAGTAAAAACAACCGAACAACGCGTAAATGAGACTCGTTTTGAATTGCTCTGCTCAATTGTTACCGCATGTTCATCATCATCATACTTTTTTTTCTCTGTTGGTTGGTTCGATGTCATTGTCGGTGGTGCGGCTTGCGACATCGATTTCGGGTATTGTTCTGTCTTTTGTCGGGCGAAATTTTTCGCGTGCGTGAATTGAGGAGATGAGGAGGATGGGGTGTATGGTGTTTGTAAGAAAAACACTTGCATCAACTTTGACATGAAATTATCTATTTAAATCGAGTCGGTGAGGCGCGCTCGGAAAACGAGCAAAGAGCAATTTGTAATGGAGAGAGTGGAGAAGCAATCAAGGAGTTCTTTATTCGCTATTTGTTAACATCTGAATCTATAATGAGTGCTGCTGCTGCTGTTGCTGCTTTGTTGGTTTTTCACGTTCATCTAATTCTGTCTCGGTTTAGATCTTGTTGGCGCTCAATACTGTGTCTAAACGAGAGAGCCTGTGTGTGTGTGTGTGTGTCGCTGTCGTTTATGAATTTTGCGGCAAGCTAAGTGCTCGACAGACAGAGGGGACGGCAACCATTCAAGCAACACATAACATACAGTGAAATGATGGTTGTTCGATTTTTGCCATTGGTATGAGCGCACATGGATTTTCAGATCGAAATCGGTAAAAGTTTGAACTTACAACCTGAATTTAATCTCACACCTTTCATTCCTGTCAATTTATTGAGAATGTTTCTGCTGTTGCTGCTTAATTTACAATGTGTGTACATGTTGCGATCTGGTGAATGGTGGGGATGAGATCTGGAAGGGAGGATTTGGATAAGGGATGCATGCGAATGAGAGACAGAGAGTGCAAGAGAGAAAGAGAGAGGTGAAGGTGAAGGTAGAGAGAGAAACAGATCTGACACAATGACACAAACCAAAAGTGCTCCGAATGTTATTTCTTCTCCGTGCGCTTAAAGTGCACAATAGAAAAACATATTCAAAATTCCTTACTTTAGAGTAATTATCAAATGAAGCATTTTCAGCTTGGAGTCTCGGTGTATGTGTTTCTTCTGTGACTCTCTCCACATCTTTCTCTCTCACTCTCTTCAGAGATAGAGAATCTCTGTCTCTTTTCCTGGCAAAGACTTTAAGTTTGTGCTTCCCTTTCGGGGCTCACAATTTCTGTCCCACTCTACGTGTTCATTCAAATGCTGGTTTCATTCATTCGACGAGGGTGAAAAGCATAATAAAACTCAACCATTCCACATCGGCTCCGTCGCATTGTTCTGTGTTTGTTTTTGCTTTTTCGGTGATTGCATAGGCATCCCCCCTCCCACCGTTCGAAATGCTCATTTGTAAACCACCTCATTTTGTAATTTCGTTGTAGCCCGTCTTTGATTTCGAACATACACATTTGGGCTGTGTAAAAATTTGCCTAAGTGTTTTTCTTTCAGCTTGATTGTTATATTCCGGAGGTCGTTTGTTTTCACTTCTTTCACTTTAAAAACTACACTTAAATTTCATCCATTAAATTCATTTCCGTTGAATTGCACACATTCGTACAAAACGAATTTGTTGGCATTTCAAATCCATTTTGTATACGCACACACACATGAAATGACAATCAAATTTAATCGCTTTTTTCTTCTCTCTGTTCATTTTTTTTTCTAGTGTGACGCATTTTCAAAAAGGGTAAGTGTACGATGATGACATAGTCAGATGTGGATAAAATCATTTCAACCATGCATTTCAGTTCACACAGACACACACACAATCTCGTTCCCTGTCATTCAATTCAGCATTTTCCTAATTAATAAATAATTACACTGAAAACGAACGCCCGATTACTATTCCCATGCGATGCCAAAACACTTTGTGCGAACTGTGCTCGCTCGCTCGCTCGCTCGTTTGGTTCCATTTACGTTTTTTTTTAATATTTGGATGTGCGTTGCTTTTCGTGACATGAGCATGAGTGAAGTCAAATTTTTCAATTTAATATATCGTGTAATGGATTGCAAAATGGGAGTTTTATCAATATTTTTCTCTTTGCTCCCGGCGATGCAACATGACCGCTTTTTTCTCATTCTTTGACCGCTTTTTTCATCGATGGTGACAAAAATCAATTGGTTTTTTTATGCGATTTTCAATGCAATGAATGGAGGAGATGGAGTAAGAGTGCAAGAGTGGATAGAAGAAGAGAGAAGGATTGCATGTACTCTTTGCCTTTTCCCTGAAAGTGGAAACAAGAGCAGGATAAAAAGAACGAGCTTCGTTCAACGAAGAGAGAGAATCAGGAGAAAAAGTGCGAAAAGCAACAAAGAAACGTCCCGAGAGAAAGAGAGAAAATCCCATTCGATACAACAAAAAGACACATAATCCACGCAATAAGAGAATGAAAGACAAAAGAATCATTCAAATTGAGAGAGTGAGAAAAAACCGACCAAAAAAAAAAAATTCAATTCGATACATGCCCAGCTGAATCACTATCAATGAAATTAAAATTAGTGTGGATAACTCGATACAAATGGGCAAACACAGAAAAAACTCCGCATGAAAATTGAAAAACCGAGAAGATAAAGCGCGATCGCGCGTCATTAATTTAAATGGATTTCGAAGCGTCGTCGTCGTCGTTGTGCCGATGTGGAAAATGGGAAAGAAATAATGCTATAAAGTACACATCTGCAATCAATTTACAACGTAATTAATTGACGTTCAATTTTATTGATTGCGAATGACACAGCGAATTTTGGTATTTCACTTTAAAATTCATCTCGTGAATGGCACCAGATGGAAAGAGTGTGTTGACGCTTCGACTCTTCTGTCAGAGACAAAAACAAGTAGCGCATCAAAAATATTTGACATTCGAGGTGAAATGTTATTCGCGCTGACAACATTTTTATTCGCTCATTTTAAATGCTGAATTTTTTCCGTAACAATAGTCATTATTACTAGGTTTTACAATGAATTTTCCCTCTCTTTTTAACCTTCCTCTTTCTCTCTCTCTCTTCTCTTTCTGTCTCTTTCTTTTCATCATCGAAATGTATTTTGTTCATTTTTTTTAAACCAAAAATGCGCTTTTTCAACCGAACGTTTTTGCTCTCTTTTCAAAATCAGCATTTTTTATTCCTTTTTTTTGTTGATGAAATGTTTTACTCTTGTTTTTTGCTAAATATCATCAGGCAATTTGAGAAAGAGATACTAAAAAAATCTTCCATTCTTTAATGTCAATGGCAGAAAAAAAAAACCGTTGGCATCAATTTGAATATTTTTCAATATCATAAAAATGCAATCCGAAAAACAACGAGTCATGAACGGTGATGCGACTGAATGTGGCCGTTAATCGGTCTCGTCAACGAAATGAACAGAATCGTGGATTCGTTGGATTCAGTTTCGCAATGGCGGTAGTTTTTTTTCTCTCGGTCGAATCGAGTCTTTTGAAATGTAAACATTTTGGCGATATTAAAGTGGAAATAGCAATTTCTGCTTTTTTTCCCGGCATTTTACATGCATTAGCAAATAGTTATGTGTGGTGCATGCAGTTTTTCCACCACCAACCAACAAACATACATAACGAAAAAATTATATCCATTAAACATTTTTATTTTCGCATTTAATGTTGTTTATTGTCGTGTATGACACTTTCCAAGTCGACATTGTAGAACATGGTCGTAGCGCGTTTTAACGCCGAGCGAAAAATCCGAGAGAGCGAGAAAAGGATCGAGCGAGTGAGTGCCAGGCAAGATAGTACGAAAAAAAAATGCGAGAAAGAGAGAGTTAATAAGTGCGAGAGAGGGCAAGACCCAAACAGAGAAAATGATAGTGAGTGGTAGAGCTGAGCGTGTACATTTTATGGCAATCGGATGTGTAATAAATATATTGGTAAATACGTGCGCTATGCTACTTCATAAAATGGATTCGGATGACTCATCATCATCGTCGTCGTCGTTGCGAGTGTGTGTAGTGTTTTGGTTCTCGCCACCCCAATCATAAATACTTAACTCGCTTAAAATACATGAGAATGTATCATCCACTTGGAAAAATTTATTCGAATTGGACACACGATGCGTGTGTATATTCCCGATATAGAGAGAGAGAGAGCGAGCGTATAGGGTTCATAGTCTCATGGTATAAAAACAAACTCGCTTCGTTGGGTTTTTGTTGTTGTCATTGCTATTCATGCACTTCATTTTGTTTGAAAAAACACGAGCCATCGTTGTTGTTGTCGTCGTCGTCGTCGTCACACGACTGTCTCTCGACGTTCATGAGACTTGGTCCCGATTATGAAGTCGCGTCGCGTATATTAATGGTTATGTTGCTGCTGATGTTGCTTTCGCAACTACATAAAACATTTGTTTCAGGGCAAATCGTTCCATACGCTTCTTCACCGTATTGTTCGGCGTTAATCCCAAAACAATGAATGTTACAAAATACTAACCAACAGAAGAAACAATGAACAGCACACACACACACACACACACACACAAGCGAATAACAACAAAGTATAACAACATAATAGAGAAATAAAGCGACTCAGAAAAAATTGACATACGCTGACTTTTCTTCTGCGCCGAGTCGGTTCGACTAATGCCAAGAATCAAAATACTAAATCTAATGCGGAATTTACATGAAAATTTACAAGAATTGAATGGTGAATTTACATAAAATCCAATGAACGCAGGCCCATCGCCGAATCATGTAATCCAAAGTCGAAATTTAACACGAACATTCGAATATACTCTTCCGCAAAACACTTTCACAATCACGAAGCGAATCCAATTCTAAACTAAATGAAACGTAACAATTTTCGAAATTGTCAAAATGACTTGACGAAAAAACACATTGCTTCCTCACTTAAAAAAAAATGATTTTGGTCTTCGTCAGCCCAATCGTTTGTTCGGTTAAATGGCAAAAACGTGTTTTCTTCATTTACGAGGCGAAATCGTTGGTTCGAAGCGATGAAGAATTTACTCTTCACTTGTGATATTCGACCGATTGAAAATTAATCGTTTCGTCATTATTCTGTATCGTTTGGACTTGGGTTCGTGTGTCCTTTGCCATTTTCCACCAGTAAAAGGTCATTCTCTTTTTTGTGAGTACAGCGATTTTGATCAGAAACATATCCAAAGAGACTGTTTATAGTCTCGAACTTTCACAAAATAGATTATCTGAATAACAATCGTTTGATGATTTTGGACAAGAGTTGTTTATGTTGTGTGTTCAGGAGGGCGGTGGCAGCGGTGGTGGTAGTGGCAGTGGCAAAGTCAAAGGCGACTGGTAGCAATTCCCATTTCGATGTCCATTTCAATGCGGCGAATATGCATCCTCTTGGCTCTTTGTTGCGAGGGAGTCACCGGTCGTCACATAACTGAATTTTGTGATATTCATCGAAAAACGGGCGACACACAACGACAGTGCACATAGAGAAGAAAAGGGTCGTTTCAATTCATTGCATTGCTTTATCGCTTTTTGTGCCCATTGTGCGTTTTGTTGTGACGATTTAATGTGTTTCGAAGTTTATCCGAAAAGAGACAATAATTTGTACGAAAATAAAAGAGTCAAAAATCGCTCGCTTCTTTCACATGGTATTCCACAGACGAAGACGACGTCGTCGACTTTGTCTCGGGATACGATGCTGTTGCTCTTCCACGACATTGTCGTCATTATCAAACAAGCATTTAATGTTCATTATGCGCGCACGGCCCCAACAAAAAACCGTCGGCAATTTTATCCAAATAATAAACATAATCTTTTGCAAATTTGTACGACACAACGATGCCGATTATGCTGCTGCTGCTTGAAAATTTTCTATTTGCACGACGTGCGTGGATACATAAATTACTTTTGCCTGGGTGATGATGATCTCTCTCTCTCTCTCCTCTTGCATGTTACTACTGTTACTTCACAAGCCCGATTGAATCCCGGTCGACAGAGGGTAATTCAAATGACATTCGTGCTATTGCTCTGGTATTCAGGCTGAAATTCAGGAAAATCACATGCTTGTGCGCTCTTAAACAATCATTATGTGAACACATTAAGGCCGGTCGAACAGAGCGAATAGTTAGCGGATAGATTAATAAAGACCCGCACGCGCATTTCGACTTTTGGAGGAAGAGCGCGCGTTAACATATCCAAAGCAAAATTGACGATTACAAATATCTAACGATAATGTTTTATATCGTTTTCAATCTCATTTCCATCGCAGGGAATAAGAGGAATAGACGGAAAGAAAGAGCCATTTCCCTGGCAACGACACAGAGGAGTTTGTGAAATAAGACAGAACCCGACCATAAATATGCGATTTAATCAGATTTTCAAACAAAAAGCATAATGATACTCCATTTGACTGATTATGAATCGATTTTGATTGAGGGGATCTCTTTCTCATTCTCTATCTCTTTCTCTCAGTAAGAGACTCTCGCTCCCAGTTTCTCTGTTTCTTTGATAATGAGATGCTGTGCAGTGCACAGTATGCACGTCAAACGGGGCATGACATCATAGATTTTTCCATCATAGTTTATCAATCAACTCGATATCAACTTAATGTCAAAACACACTTCAAAAGATATTATCGGCCTGTTGAATGGTTTGCACTCTCATTTGAAATACCGACATTAATACCCTTCTTACTCTCGGTTTGAATTCAAATATTGTGGATTTTCCATTCAAATCATAGGATAAAAGATAGAAGTATAAATTACTTCAAGTTTAATTTGCGTTAAGAATTAAGTGCAAACGAGACCAACCGCACACACACACACATGCGTTCACTCCGTGCAAATCACACTTGATTGATTTATTTTCCAACTAATTATTCACATTGACTGTACATCAAATTGAAGCTAGCTCTCCATTGGCCATAAGTGTAATCAGTGGCATTGATTCACAGCTACACAACAGATGGTCAACAGTTTTTTTTCAGGTCAAACAAATAAGCGAAATTAAAAAAATAGAAAAAAAGAGAGAGAAAAACTAAATCGATCACACACCAGGCATATATTACTATTGTTCAACTGTTGTTTAAGTTGCCCATGCTCACTTTATTGATACGTTTTTTTTAAAAGTAAAATAACTTACTCGTACCCATCCGTGCTTAGAACTGAAAACAGACCAAACTTAATATTGGTGTATTGAGAAAAGATTATAAAATTCACATACACTACCGTGCAAAAGTTTGGAACCACTGGGTATTTTTCATACAAATTGACCATTTTTGGTGGACTCATTAACATATTTCGGAAACACCTGCACCCTTGATATTTTGTGCATAGTTTCTACAACGTTTCAATAGTAAATCACAAAGGTTTCATCAAAAAATATTCATGAATTTCAAAAATATAGCAATTTGAATTTGTACTGTGTGAAAAAGGATCAAATTTGTATGAAGATTAAAACAGATCAAATTCAAATTTGTTATATTTTTGAAATTCATGAATATTTTTTGATGAAACCTTTGTGATTTACTATTGAAACGTTGTAGAAACTATGCACAAAATATCAAGAGTGCAGGTGTTTCCGAAATATGTTAATGAGTCCACCAAAAATGGTCAATTTGTATGAAAAATACCTAGTTGTTCCAAACTTTTGCACGGTAGTGTAGTTATATTAATATGAATCGTATTCAAGTGGCGATCACTGATCACTCTCTTTTAAACAGCATTTTGACCATATTTTGATTGCAACTTCGATTAATAAGAGCATTGCTCTGAGAGCAATCAATTTTTCACGGTCAATTTTTGTTCTCTACTTCGCTCAGATGAATTACAATAATTGGCTAGAAATTTCATAGGAAAATCCGATAATTTGCACACACTCACAAAAAAAAAACACCAAAGAAATGTTCCAGTTTTACAAAGGGGACAGCAAATTTGTTTTTTTTTTATATTTTTTACCTTCAGTGGTATTTGCGTTAAACTTGATATTCAACTAAATATTGAACGCCAATGAAATTTGGGTGTTCTCATTAAACAAAACTGTTCATTAATTTTGATGTTCAACTGAATTTTCGGTTCTTTTTGGAAATTGACGCCGATAAATTTTCATATCCAATTTAATGTTGATTGTTAACGAAAACAAGCTAAAAAAAAGTTAAGAAGATTCACACCAGACTAATTTTTATGAAAAAGAAGAGTTCAAAAACACCCAAAAAATTACTAATGAAAACCCAAAAGATAGAAAAGACTTTGAAATTGACCAAACGAAAACTCATGAGCTTTGCATTTACTTCTCTATTTATTTTCACGTTTGATTGCATGAAATGATAAATAACTTAAATACTAATAACAACGGACATCGGGCACCATTTCATTTTGGCGAAGTGCAAGAAAACACTTGCTACGCGATGAATTGGCCGAATGTCAATAAATTTTTGTTGATAAATAGTCGATTGGGGAAGGCCTAAGTAGTTTTCGAATGGGATTGTCGTATGCCAAATAGTCCGGTGAAAAAAAAAGGAATTTCGCCATGAGGTGGCTATGTTGGAACGGCTCCTTAAGTTGATGAAGTTCTTGCTGTCGAGGAAGTGCTTGCAGTTGAAGCTGTGCCGCCATTATTGCCACCGGCGTTGCCGCCAGTGCTCGCTGTCCGTGATGTTGATGATGTCGATGATGTTGTTCCGCCCATGTTGCCTAAATTAAATTATTGACATGTATATATTAGTTAAATTTCTCAGAAAAAGAATCTGTATATCGAGTGTAGCACTTCAAATGTTCCAATAAATTTATTCTATTAATTGAGCTTACCACCATTACCGCCATTTCCTGATCGTGAGGTTGTATAACCCCCGCCGGTTCCTCCCATGTTTCCTCCCATGTTTCCTCCCATGTTTCCTCCCATGTTTCCTCCATTGTTGAATGGGATAAACAAGGCACATGGGCAAATTGAGCATCCACAGCCACCACGCTTGCGACGTCTGCGTGATTTGTTTCTTCGATTTCTTTTATTAGAATTCTTCGATGAATTAGAATTCTTTGATGAATTAGAATACTTCGATTTCTTGCTTGTGTTGCTTGTATTGCTTGACTTTCTTGTATTGCTTGACTTGCTTGACTTGCTTGTATTGCTTGACTTGCTTGCCTTGTTGCAATTTTTGCATTTTGGATATTCGGCAATATATTGACGTTTACCCTGGATGGCAAAGGAAATGAAAGAGAAATTATTTTGGATTGGGTTCCAGGAAGTTTTGCTTTCATTCGATTCAATTGAAATCCATTGAAATGGATCGTGATTCAAGCAATTTTCGAAACTTGCAGAATGAAGAAGAATGCTTAACCAGGCTTTTGTGATTGTAGCTCATTGTGAGCTATCAACAAGTTCAATCTGGTGTTTAAATCGAAGCATTCCACCTTTTTTTTCCTTGGATTAATTCTCACTGAATTTTATTTAAAATCACGATTCTTTGTGCAGAAATGATTTGTTTGCAGCAAAAAATAGCTGAATGCTTTAGGTTTTAATTCAAGTTGGGCCAACAGAAACAAATTTGCCGAGGCGACTCACCTTGGTTCTTGGCATGACTTGGTATCTGATACGTTTTGTTCGGCCAGATGAGCTGCTAACACTTGAGCGGCTAGCACCTGAGCGGCTAGCACCTGAGCTACCTGACACGGCTTTGTAGCCAGATGAATGGCAACTTGTTCCGGATGATGATGAGCCGGATGAGCCGGATGAGCCACATCTCCTTTCCGCTAAAAAAATATTTTTAAAAAAAGTTGATTTTCTGCAATTTCATGTGTTTGATGCAATGAAAATGGTTAAATTTTACGAATTCTCTCATTTCGCAAATGAAAATGAAGTCAATTTTATTCAAAATCGAAATTAAAATGCGATTCAATCATCAATGACAGAATCTTTCAATTAGATATCATCGCTTCCAAACAACTCTCCTATTCACTTTGAATTTGACAACTGATATTGAGCGCAAACACCACCTAGATAATCTAAGGCTAATGACAATACAATCAAGTAAACTCTCCGTTCTGTCAAACGTCATACTGAAGTATAACATACAGACATCACGAACTCGCCATCGGTTCTTTAAATGGCGCTTCGGTCAACCGAGTTCCAACCAAATACATGTATCAGTATACGAAGCATTCCACTGTTGCTTCCAAACGAAAATTCATCAAATCAAATTCAAAATTCGCAAATGAGTGTGTGAAAAGTGTCAATTTCTATTTGACAACCATTTAAAAAAATGATTCAGAAGGGTGAAAAGCGACGAGAAACACAACCAGAAGTGGCTTTTGGTCGTTTTTCTTCTTTCTAGTTGTCTTTTTTACTTACGTTCAGCAACTGCGGTTGGTTCTGGGTCTGCGAGTGCCTCTGGCTCGGGCTCTGGGTCTGCGAGTGCTTCTGGGTCCGGTTCTGGGTCTGCGTTTGGTTTAGCGTATGCTTTGTTGGCCTACGGTGTAATTAAAATGTTATTTTTTTTTATAATTTGCTTATAATCATTAGTTTGTGTTCGAATGAAAAAAAAAATGAACCGAAAAGCGTTACTTACGATCAGTGCAAAAAGCACGATGGCAAGAATCCACCGAAAATTCATGATGCTATATAAAATAGCCGTAACGAATGAATGATCGAAATAATTAAAGTGATTCGATGAAACAATCAAATCGTAATGATACCCTAACATCGAATTTCATACGGTATTTATAGGCGAAAAAATGTAACCGAAATTTCAATGATTGGCCAATCAATTGTTGATCTAGAATATGTGTAAATGGGCTAAGGTGACAAATCGGAATCAAGCACACCTCACTATCACTCTCTCTCTCTCTTTCTCTCTCTCTCTCTCTCGTGATAGCACACATCATTATTGTCGTCACCGAGACCGAAGCTCGCAATCAATTGTTTGATTAGCCTCAGTCAGTTTGAACCATATTCGATGTTTAATATTAAAATATTGACCACGTTTCCATTGGTTTTGGGCTGTGCGCTGTCTTGCACGAGAGATTGTATTGATAGTTCTACAATCTGTGTAAATTATGTGGCTCTCAAAATATTTATTCTAATTAAATATAGAATGATATGTGTGCTTGTCTGTTTTTCGTTTGCTTTGCGTAGAAAAGTGAAACAGATTTTTGAGGCGCAGCTTTTTGGTTTCGATCTCTGTTCATGATTCATGGTCAATGCGGAAACTTTTCCATCTAATTTTGCCTGTACGAAGAATAAAATGCGCTCGATCAGTCTTATTTCAACTCTGAAAATTTATTGCCGCCGTTTTTTTATTCGCTCTGAAAATAATGACATAATGATTGAACGATGGAGTCGTGATGAACTCGATCAAAATAACACAAAAGAGAATGTGAAAACAGAGAGAGAGAGATAGAGAGAGAGAGAGAGAGAGAGAAAAGAGGGAGAAAAACGAATGAAAAAGTTCAACAAAACGTGAAATACACGGAATTAATGGATCTTGAGATCTTTAGCATGCACGAGTTCAGTGCGATGCGTGTTGATCTTGATTTTTGGTACAAAACCAAGCCAAAATACACACCAAGATGCTGCAAAATGTATGGATTCTTTTTTGGGGGGCTGCACAATAAATCATCGATGCTAAATATTGAGTGGTGACAGCGTATCGTTGTGTACGATTTTTTATTGAATGCACGACGTGAAAAGTGAGCGAGAGAAGGAGAGAGAGAGAAAATGAGCCAGAAAGCGAGATAAAGAACGAGAGAGAGAGAGAGAGAGAGAGAGAGAGAGAGATGCAGACGCGGAAAAAAATCCCGGCTCTCATTGAGTCCCGTGCAACCAAATATCAATAAATCACAACTTGGAACTCGTGCGATTTTTTTCTTCTTCTCTTATTCCGCTCCAACTTCGATTCATTAAATTATATTCGCGCTTGCAGAAACTTTTTTTCGAGGCCATGCAGCAAAACACACAGGCTCATCATTTGTCGAATCAACATAACTCCACCGTACCAATGTCATATCCATTTGCAAATTATGTGCATCAGACAACACACAGCACAGAATAAATGTATGCATCAGAATACACCCATTCACTCCGGCTGCGAGTTCAAAATTCTGAATATGATCACAGAATCGTTGATTTTTCAGATTTTTTCAATTTTGCATTTGAATCGGCATATTTTCGCAATAGATACAAACAAATTAATATTTGTGTCAGCGAATCATTACCATACTGGAGTTGATTTTTTTTTCTCTCTTTGTTCGTTTCTTTCTATTGCGAGAATCGTATCTCCGTATGTGGAGAAACCGGGAGAATATTGCTTTATGTAGGGAAAATCTATCGCTTTGTATACCGAGAAGAGAATCATTATGCCATTCACTTGGCATTTTGCCGATTCAATGAATTCATTCGACGCATTAATATCCGATTTTTTTCTGCCAGAGATGAAAGTAACAGACAGAAAAAACCTAACTCTCACCCCGATTGCATTCCAATCGCATCGACTCGAAAAATTATTCAATGGGTTTTTTTTTGTCTCGTAGTCGCCGTGCGTTCATGCAGTTTATACAATTTTTTTTTTCGCCTTGTGACAGCATATTTCCCATCGACTCCATTTGATAGTACTTATTTTGATATCGCGACATTGTGATTGCGACATGAATATCTATTTCTAAATGGTTGACGAAGAATAAAAACAACTTGTGCATCGAAGAACAATGTCGTTGATGTTATTCTTTCATATTTTTTTTAAACTCCCTTTTCTTTCTCGGATTTGCCATTTTTTCCGCTGTTCCGTTGCGGCGTTGTTCGATTTTGTGGTCGTGCTTCTGTACTGTGTGTGTGTGTGTGTTTGGACAACCAAAAGAATTTTGCAGCCAGAATCAACAATACGAACACAAAATGATGAACAACAACCGGCACACAATTTGACACAAAACAAACAAATCGACTACAAATCGCATCGTGCATCATAAATGATTTGCTTGCTTAGTCCGATCTGTTTCTCTTTATTTATCTCTCTCTCTCTCTCTCTCTCGCCTTTGCTCTTGCTCACTCTTTCCCTATCCAAATCTCTTGCTCTTTTTTATTCACCGTGTGTACTATAAAACACAACATGTGTAGCCCATAACCGTCATTCTATTGACGAGAACCACAAAAGAAACAACCATAAACCAACAAAACACACACGATGGCGAAATAATAAAAAAAAACATGCACAAAAATAATAAAAGTAAAAATGACGGCAGACAGATATTTTGTGTATGTGCATCAGCGAATCAGGCGCTTATTTTATGTGTCTGGAGTAACACACGGATTATTCACCGAATGGAACAAAAAAAGAAACGAGCAGAGAAATGAACTATTTGTGCATGCATCATATGCAGTGGTTTGATGGAAGAATGAACTGACGGTCCGTTTGCTCATAATTTCGATTGTTTGTGCGTTGGCTTTGTGTAAGAGTCAGGGCCACAGTCATAGAGATATCGAAACAGTGGCAACGAGACAGTTTCGTTGCCATTTGGTTCTTTTGTTCGGGATGAGTGAAAGCACGACGTGCTTACCACGTTGTTTACATCTCGATGACTCATCAACTGTCCGCTCGTCCATTTGCCATTTTAATCCGAATTGTGTACGAATGAGCCATTAATGCAGTTTTTTTTTTCTCTGCATAATTATAATATTTTTTCCATTAAAACTATGCTTCGCTCTGCTTTTTACATTTATCGCTCATTGCCCATTGTACGTCGCTCATTGCTCAACCCTCATTGCGCGTCGCTCGTCACTTGTCACACATCTTTTTCCGTTCATTGCTCATGGCTCGTCGCTAATATCATATTCGACTCGATTAATTCAGCTTGAAAAAACCCTATAGAAATGTTCATCGGCCAAATGCAAGTTGATGAAAAGCTTTTGACTAAACAAAAAAAAAAAACTGGAACCAAATGTGATGAATTACACGACTTCTACATTGGACATTGCGAAAAGTTTAATCAAAAAAATTTCATTTTATTCATAGCATTTGTCAAAAAAAAAAATTATCCGTCAAAAATTGAGCCGAATGAATTTTAGTTACGTGTAAATCCATGTGTCGGACCGATAAGTATTTAGTTGAAAAACAATATTAAAATTTTGATCTCGAATATTAATTATCTCTCCAATAATATACACACACCTAGAATGAGAGAAAAGTCCATGTTCAGTTTTACTAATAAATTTTGTTGTCTGTTTCTCTATCCCGTTTAGGTTTTCTTCAACTGTCTTTGTTGGATTTGTTCTGATGATGTGCACGTTGCGCTGTGAACCAAATCGATGTGCATAATGTGGCCAGTGCGGCGTATGGCCGCGACCACCGCCAAAACGACGAATGCATTATCGTCATCATCGTCATCGACGTCTCGTTTGCTGGTTGTTTATATAACGACATTACTGCTGTTGCTCACATCGTTCGTTGACAATGCGAACGGTTATCTGATTGTGGTGAGCGATACAACACCCGCTGGCGTGGTAATTTTCAATGCATCCGTGTATAAGCTGGGCTCGGAGCGATTGTATCGCATCAATACACATAAATCGGCACAGTTTGTGCATCATTTGTTTCATGTCGATCACAAAGATGGTCAAATCCGTTTAAAAAAGTCACTCCAATGCGATGGCATTTTCTATCCAAATATTTTCACATTTTATGTGGATTCAACGACAAATCGTTTACGTAGCATCGACTATTACAGTTTACCGTTGCGCATATTGGTGTCCGGTGAAAATTGTAATGATGATTATCACAATGGTACGTTGATGTATGGACGAAATTTTGAAGAGGAAAATCATGTGCTCGACCGACGACGACGACACATTGCAATCGATGCAGCCGCCGCTGCAGCCGTTGATGATGCAAATGCCATTGACCAAAATGCATTGACCGCCACCACCATCACCAACACCATTGGCAACGAAACGGATTACAAGCACTTTAATGACGGTGACATACTGTTCGATAGCGTTCTCACCAATTTCGAACGACACAAAATGCTGTCGCGTAAACGACGTGAACTCCAACTCAACGATGCCATTTACAATAAAATCACCGAGGCCAAACAATGGATTACCGAAACGTATGCATCATATGCCATTCATACCACCGACAAATGGAATAAAATCTGCATGAAAAAGTCACAATACATTAATTCATTGAATGCATTTTTGCCGCGTACGATTTGCCAGTATTGTAAGGTGAGCTTTTTGGATGTGAGCGACGAACGATTCAAAATTGAAATTCAGAACCGTGATTTAGTGGCCAGCCGTGATGTATGCATACCGGAACCACTGTGGAAAGTGATTGTTACGCTGAAAGTGAAATGCGATCGTTCGGATATTATTGATTCGGATCATCGTTTGAAAATTGTATATCATCATCAGGAATTCAATGACACGGACATGGCAAAGCGTGTTAAACGTGAGCTACGTAATCAAAGTCCATTCTTTGAGCAAGCATTGTATGTTGCTTCGGTGTTGGAAGAACAACCGGCTGGTTCGACAGTGACAACGGTACGGGCTCGTGATCCCGAAGATTCGCCCGTTGTTTACTCAATGGTTTCGTTGCTCGATTCACGGTCACAATCAATGTTTAAGGTAGATTCACGTACGGGTGTCATAACCACCACATTATCGTTGGACCGTGAACAAATGGACGTACATTATTTCCGAGTTGTGGCCACCGATGACAGTTTTCCACCGCGATCCGGCACAACAACACTGCAGGTCAACGTTTTGGATTGCAATGATCATGCACCAACTTTTGAGGCCGAACAATTTGACACGAGCATTCGGGAGAGTGCTACCGTTGGCTCAACCGTTATAACATTGCGAGCAACCGATCAGGACATTGGGAAGAATTCTGAAATTGAATACTCCATTGACACTGTTTCAGGTGGCGGTTCAACGACACCCGAACAAGATATAAACACATTTAAAATTGATCCAAAATCGGGCGTTATTTCCACGAGAAGTAGTTTGGATCGTGAAGTGGCCGATATTTATTCGATTGTTGTACAGGCCACTGATATGGCCACACCGCAAGATGAACGGAAATCGGCCACGGCAACGGTCATTGTTAAAGTACTCGACGACAATGACAACTATCCACAGTTTAGCGAACGAACGTATTCGGTGCAGGTGAGCGAAGATAAATGGGACGATACGAATATTATAGCACAAATTCGAGCAACCGATGCGGATGATGGCAACAATGCGGCCATTCGATATGCAATCATCGGTGGAAATACACAATCCCAATTCGCCATCGATTCAATGTCTGGCGATGTGAGTCTGGTCAAACCATTGGATTATGAAAGTGTTCGCAGCTATCGACTCGTTATTCGAGCACAAGACGGTGGCAGCCCATCGAAGAGTAATACAACACAATTACTCGTCAATGTACTCGATGCAAATGATAACAGTCCACGGTTTTATACGTCACAATTTCAAGAAGCCGTTTTGGAATCCGTTCCAGTTGGCTATAATATTGTTCGTGTTCAAGCCTATGATGCGGATGAAGGAGCTAATGCCGAGATAACGTACAGCATTTTAGATCGAAAAGATTCACTGCCACTTGCTGTTGATTCACGCACCGGATGGATTCATACGGTTAAATCATTGGATCGCGAAGAAATGTCACGGTACACATTCCAAGTGATTGCCAGCGATGGCGGTATTCCACCTCGGTCAGCCAGCAGCTCAGTTGTTATCACCATTCAAGATGTTAACGATAATGATCCGAATTTTAGTCCGAACTTTTATGAAGCTTCGATGGCCGAAGATCAACCACCAGGTAAAAAAGGGATTTTATTTTCTTCCGTTTTTTTTTTCATTCTTTTTTCTTCCGTTTCGGAGCTGTTTCAATGGAATTTCTTCAAAATTAAAAACTTTTAACCCATTTCTGCGCCCTCTTTCCAGGCACACCCGTTGTAACCGTCACAGCAACCGATCCGGATGAAGACTCTCGTCTGCACTATGAAATCACATCGGGAAATACACGCGGTCGATTTGCAATCACCTCACAAAATGGTCGTGGCTTAATAACGATAGCACAGCCATTGGACTATAAGCAGGAGAAGCGTTTCATTTTGACGATAACAGCAAGTGATTCAGGTGGTCGTACGGATACTGCCACGGTGAACATCAACATTACTGATGCGAATAATTTTGCTCCTGTCTTCGAAAATGCACCGTATTCGACAAGTGTGTTCGAAGATGTGCCAATCGGAACGACGGTATTGGTTGTATCGGCCACCGACAGTGATGTCGGGATCAATGCACAAATCACCTACTTTTTGAATGAAGAATCGCTAAACAGTTTGGGTGCAAGTGAGCCATTTGCAATAAATCCACAAACAGGAGCCATAACAACGATTGCACCGTTGGATCGTGAAACGATTAGTGCATATTTGTTGACAGTAACGGCCAAAGATGGTGGCAATCCATCGTTAAGTGATACAACCGATGTGGAAATTGCCGTATCCGATGTCAACGATAATGCACCGTCATTCAAAGTGCCATTGTATCAAGCATCGATACCAGAAGATGCATTAATCGGCACATCAGTTGTTCAAATCTCGGCCACAGATGATGACATCGGCTTAAATGGACGCGTCAAATATATGCTGAGCGAAAAAGATCGTGATGATGGTTCATTTGTAATCGATCCAACGTCTGGAATCATTCGAACGAATAAACAATTGGATCGCGAAACGATTGATGTTTATCATTTGCAAGCGATAGCCGTTGACAAGGGCACACCGCCCATGAGCAGTACGATTGAGGTACAAGTACGTTTGGAAGATGTTAACGATTCACCGCCAACATTTGAATCGGATCGCCTGACATTTTATGTGCCCGAAAATTCGCCGGTCGGTTCAGTTGTAGGGGAAATTCATGCCCATGATCCGGATGAGGGTGTTAATGCAATCGTACAGTATTCAATAATTGGTGGCGATGATTCACAATCATTTTCACTTATCACACGACCCGGATCTGAACGTGCACAACTGTTAACTATGACTGAAATGGATTATGAATCACCGAAAAAACGTTTCGAGCTGGTAATTCGGGCGGCAAGTCCACCGCTTCGAAATGATGTAACGGTGGAAATTTTAGTCACCGACATCAATGACAATGCACCGATCTTGAAGGATTTCCAAATTATTTTCAACAATTTCCAAGAGTAAGTAGAACAATGCCTTTTTGGTCAATTTTTGTCGAATTTCCTTGATGGTTTTTGAGAAGCCTGATTTCATTGAAGTTATGCTCATTGATTTCATCTAAAACAAAGTTATGCCCATTTAATTTATGCTCATTTCTTTTTCAGTTGGTTCCCGAGCGGTGAAATTGGACGTGTGCCTGCTTTTGATGCCGACGTTAACGATAAATTGGTCTATCGCATTTTATCGGGCAACAATGCGAATTTGTTGCGTTTGAATGCATCGACCGGTGCATTAACGTTGAGTCCACAGCTGAATACGAATGTACCGAAATATGCGGTGATGGAGGTATCAGTATCGGATGGTATCAACGAGGCAAAGGCAATCATGACGCTCATTGTTCGTTTAATCACCGAAGATATGCTTTTCAATTCGGTCACCGTTCGCCTGGATGAAATGACGGAAGAGGCATTTTTATCACCGCTGTTGAATTTCTTTTTGGACGGGTTGGCCGCAATCATTCCATGTCCAAAAGAAAATATCTACTTATTTTCAATTCAAGATGATACCGATATCAATTCACGCGTGTTGAATGTCAGCTTCTCGGCTCGACGATCCGATGTTTCGCACGAGGAATTCTACACATCTCAATATCTACAGGAGAGAGTTTATTTGAATCGGGCAATTCTCGCTCGATTGGCAACCGTTCAAGTGCTGCCGTTCGATGATAATTTATGCGTACGTGAACCATGTTTAAACTATGAAGAATGTTTGACGGTGTTGAAATTTGGCAATGCATCCGGTTTTATACACAGCGACACCGTTCTATTCCGACCAATTTACCCAGTGAATACGTTCGCATGCAAATGTCCCGAAGGATTTACCGGCAGCAAAGAACACTATCTCTGCGATACTGAAGTCGATCTGTGCTATTCGAACCCATGCAAAAACAATGGCAATTGCATACGACGTGAAGGTGGCTACACCTGTACGTGTACGGCTGATTTTACGGGTGAAAATTGTGAAACGAAAATCGACACACTGCCACCATGTATGACGGATTTCTGTGAAGGTTCCGGACGATCGTGTCATCAAACCAAATTGACACCGCATCCATCGTACACACAAACCTGTGAACTACGATCACGTTCATTTTCAAAGAGCTCATTTTTAACGTTCCCAAGTCTACGGCAACGGCATCGATTCAATTTGAAAATGAAGTTTGCTACAGTCAATGAAAACGGGCTCCTGTTGTACAATGGACGCTACAATGAATTGCACGATTTTATCGCATTGGAAATTCTCAACGGGCATATTTCATTCTCGTTTTCATTGGGTCAAGATATAAAATCGGTGACGATTGAACAAAAGCGTAAAATATCCGACGGTCATTGGCATACCGTTGAAGTGGCCTACTTCAATCGTAGTGTTACCGTCAGTTTGGATGAATGTGATACGGCGCTGTTGTTGAATGGGGATTTGGGTGAAAAATGGAATTGTGCCAACAGTACGACGTTGGTTTTAGACCGGAGATGCTCATTGTTAACCGAAACATGTCATCGATTTTTGGATTTAACCGGACCACTACAAATTGGTGGACTGCCAAAGATTCCAGCTCATTTCCAGATACAAAACCATGATTTTGTCGGATGCATTTCGGATATTTACATCGATCACAAGTATGTGGATTTGAATTCATATGTGGCGGACAATGGAACAACGACTGGATGTTCAAAGAAAACACCAACCTGTGCATCGGAACCTTGCTTCAATGGTGGTACATGTAAAGAAGGCTGGTCAACGCATACGTGTGAATGTCCCGAAGGTTTCACCGGTCACGCATGTCAAGAGACAGTTCCACCATCGTGGCGCTTCTCCGGCGATGGACTGCTTAGTTTCAATCCACTGCTTCGTGCCATTCAATTTCCTTGGCATACGGCGCTTTCAGTGCGTACACGACAACGCAATGCATTCCTGTTACAAATTCAAATTGGTCAAAATAGTTCGGCAATTGTTGCGCTCAAAAACGGTATTCTCCACTATATTTTCAACGGTGAACCAATGTATTTGGCGGGCAGTGATTTGGCCGACGGTGAATGGCATCGCATCGAAGTGAAATGGTTGGGCACGGAAATTTCATTTTCCGTTGATTATGGTCAACGCATCGGCGTGGTGCCAATGTCACAGAAAATCTCCGGCACCTATGTGGGCAAAGTGAATTTAGGTAGCCCAGACACTAGTTTCGGTCATATCGAAGATTTTCCACATTTCGAAGGTTGCATACAGGATGTACGTGTTGGTGGACCACAATCAGCGCTAAATCGGCCAACAGTTCGTGAGAATGTGCGTGATGGTTGCGAATCGAAAGCAACGTGTGAAGATACATGCTTCGATCACAGTAGCTGTGTCAGCGATTGGGATCGTACAATGTGTGAATGTGTGCCAGGCTATGTTGGTGACGATTGTGTACCGATTTGTACGTTGAATCCATGCACGTCGGGCGTATGCCGAGTGGATCAAAACGATCGCAAAGGCTATAAATGCGATTGTGCTAGTACGAATAACACGGGTGAATATTGTGAAATCAATAAAATGCAAACGTGCCCAGGTGGATGGTGGGGTGAAAAAGTGTGCGGACCATGTAAATGCAATACAAAACAAGGTTATCACATGAATTGCAATAAAACCACCGGTCAATGCTATTGCAAAGAGAATCATTATCAGCCGATCAATGAAACTGCCTGTTTTCCATGTGATTGTTATGCGATCGGTTCATTTGGCGGTACATGCAATCGACTCACGGGTCAATGTGAATGTCGTGAAGGTGTAATTGGTCGACGATGTGATTCATGCTCCAATCCATATGCTGAAGTCACACTCAAAGGATGCGAAGTGGTGTACGATTCATGTCCACGTTCATTTGCAGCGGGTGTTTGGTGGCCACGCACACCACTCGGACAAGTGGCCGTTGAAAGTTGCCCAGCACCAGCATTTGGAAAGGGAAAACGCGTTTGTGACGGTGATCGCGGCGGTTGGAGCCATCCGGATATGTTCAACTGTACCAGCGAACAATTTATCGATTTACGCAAACGATTGTCGCAACTCGAAAAACACGAATTGGAATTGAATTCATTTATTTCGGTGAAAATTGCGGCCGCACTTCAACAAGCCACCGATATCGTTGGGAATATAGACGGCATTAATGCAGCGAATAAAAACAGTGATTCCAAATCGAAAATAACACCAATCAACAAGGATGCCGTATGGCTGGACGAATACGAAATGGAATATTTAACCGACGAAGTGAAATTCGTACACGATCGATTGTATGGCGCTGATTTACTCGTTACCGAAGGCTTACTGCATGAAATCATCATCTATGAGCTGATGCAAAACGGATTGAATCTATCGCACAGTCAAGATAAGTATTTCATACGGAATTTGGTGGAAAGTGCAAGTGTAATTCTCGATGAACGATACGAAAACGAATGGAAACGATTGACTCAGTTAACGCAACGTAAACCTGGTGATTTAGTTGATGCGTTCAATAAATATATGACGATTTTAGCACGTTCACAACATGACACTTACACCAATCCATTCGAAATTGTCCACAATAATTTGGTACTCGGACTGGATATTGTGACGAGTGAATCGCTGTTTGGCTATCAACCGCAACAATTATCGGAATATTTCAAAGAGAAATCCACACATCATCATACTAGCCACCAATTTACAACGGAAAGTGTCATTTTACCCGATACCAGCTCATTTTTGCAACACAATCCAAAGCAAAAGCCAATGATTTCATTCCCAAAGTATAACAATTACATGCAAAACAAGCGGAAATTTGATCATCACACAAAGTTTATGGTTCCATTGGATATGCTGGGCATCACAACACCGGAGGATAGCAACGATTTAATGCACACGAGCAATTCACAAATGAACGATAAACACCGGGCCATCGTTAGCTATGCACAATACAAAGACATGGGCACATTGTATGACAGTGCATTCGATGAAACAATCACACGACGATGGGGTGTTGATGTGAAAATTGCGACGCCAATTTTATCGCTGACCATTTTAGTGCCGAGCACATTTGAACCCTCGAAATCGAATGGCATCATCAATATGGGCATCATGAATTCGAATATGAAAATGAATATGAATTCGAAAATCGTTCTCGGTCGTGATATTGACACCAATCACTTTATGGATCGTGATGAAGAGCTACAGAAAGTACAACGCTTCTCGAATTTCACCACCTTTACACCCACCGTCACGACTTCGACAAAGGAATCAAACGATCAATTGATCAATATTTCGGTGCATGACGTCGATGAAAACAACAATGAGCATGGAATTTTGAAGAATGGAGCGGAAATTGTGATCAAAAACCCAACGGTTGATGGTTTTGTAGAAGAGGTGCCACCGACAAAGAAATCCTTTGAACCAAATACAAACCTGGAGAATGAGGCGACTTATTCGGAAAAGCGGCTCGTTAAACGTGGCATCGCCGATGATGGCGAAGAAGATCAACAGTTAGTCTATCGAAGTCTTGGATCACCGCATCTATCACAACCAATCAAATTGCAAATGTGGCTGAATATGGATCGCAGTATGTTTGGACCACGATCAAATCCACAGGTTTGTTATTTGCTATTCCTTTAATCGATTTCTCATTAACTTTTATCAGTCAGAATTCACGGATCTATTCAGAGGCTCTAGGAAATCGCCTGTGTTGCTTTTGCCTAAAATGTCAATGTCATTAGCAGCATTGACGTTTTACTGACTTAAAAGCATTGAAATGTCAATTCCTTTGACGTTCTAGGCACAAATTTCCGAGAGCCTTTCATTTATTTTAACTCTATTACCTTTCTTTTATCTTTGTTTTTGCAGTGTGTACGATGGAACAGTTTTACCAGCTCATGGACACGATTGGGATGCCAGACACAGACACCAAACTATGAAGCCGAATTCATGATAATGGACGGGCCAATCATTATAAATTGCTCGTGCACCCACATTTCCAACTATGCCGTACTAATTGACGTCATCGACCCTAGTGACATTCCCGAACCATCGTTACTCATTCAAATTACTACATTGTCCGCATTTCTGATTTCATTACCCATTTTGTTTGTGGTTCTCGTTGCGCTCGCATTGTTGCGTGGCCTACAGACCAATTCAAATACAATCCATCAAAATCTCGTACTATGCGTCTTCTTTGCCGAAATGCTCTTCTTTGTGGGCTTCCAATCACGACGCAATCTCATCGATACGGAATTCTCGTGTAAAATCATTGCCATTTGCTTGCACTACGCTTGGTTGGCTGCATTCGCTTGGACCACAGTGGATTGCGTTCATTTGTATCGTATGCTCACCGAAATGAGAGACGTTAACCATGGACCGATGGGTTTCTACTTTTCCATTGGATACGGAGCACCGGCCATCGTTGTTGGACTGTCGGTCGGTGTTAGGGCACACGAATACGGGAATAACTTATTGTAAGTTGGAAAGAGAATGCTTTTTTATGCAAGCAAAATGATTTTCAATACAAGTTTTGGTTGGAATTTTTCGGATTTTTAGTCAAAATTTGAGTTTTATTTTTTTTTTGATTTTTTTTAATCAATTTCTTTTGTTAATATTTTCCTTTTTTCAAATTTTTATCGAATTTTTCATTAAATTTTCCTATGGAATCGTTGATTTTTATTCATTCAATCCCATTTAACAGCCGAACATAAAATCTAACTCATTATTTTCAATTCAATTTTTCAGTTGCTGGTTATCCGTATATGAGTCGGTTGTATGGTGGCTGGTTGGTCCAATAGCCGGAATGTCTGTGGTTAATCTCATGATACTGTTTGTATCGGTGAAGGCAGCATTCACGCTGAAAGATCATGTGCTTGGTTTTGGCAATTTGAGGTAAGTTTTCGTGTGTTTTTATTGCTTTTTTGAATCACTTCATTGGTTAGAAAATGATTGGATTCAATTCTATAGTTGATAATAATTTTACATTTATTTAAAATGAATTTTCAAATCTTTTCCATCTTCAAATAAGATGTTTCTCTTTTCGAAATTCGTAATTCACCGAAAAAAAACGTTCTTTTTCTGCTCCCTTTTCGAACAGAACCCTCTTATGGTTATCGGTTGTATCGTTGCCGTTGATGGGAATAATGTGGGTGTTGGCCGTTTTGGCAGCATCTGAAAACTCACAACTACTAACAATGCTGCTATCCGGTGCGGTCGTATTCCATGCATTCTTCTGTCTAATTGGCTACTGTATCATCAACAAGCGTGTGCGTGAAAATTTGAATCATACATTTTTGCGATGCCTGGGTCGTAAAGTGCCATTGCTCGATTCATCGCAAGCGGTGAGTGTGAGCTCACAGAATGCAGCATCGAATCCCAGATCGCCCGGTGGATTTGGCGGTGGTTCATATGAAACCAGTCGTAAACATATTGGGATCAGTGCGTCGAGTACAACGTCAAAGAGTACAAATACGAATAAAACCAGCTCCAGCCCATATCGGAGTGAGGGACAGATTAGGCACACATCAACATCAACATCGAATTACAATAGCGACGGGCAATCGTACATGAGAGGCTATAATGGGAACAGCAGCAAACGACGACATCGTGACGATCGACATGGACGTCGATCGCGCAAAGAATCGGATTCTGGCTCTGAAACGGACGGCCGAAGCTTAGAATTGGCGTCAAGTCATTCAAGCGACGAAGAGGAATCAAGAGTGGGACAGAGTGGCATTGCATCCACATCACATTGCAACATTGGCGTTTCGGCCGCTTCATCATACTTGCCAAATATTACGGAACACGTTCAGGTTTGTTGCTGAGTGTACACTGTACAACTGTGGTTAAATGGAGCTTTATGATTTAATTTTCAAATATTTTTTTTCATCTCACAGGCAACAACACCTCCCGAGTTGAATGTGGTGCAGAGTCCACAATTGTTTCCAAGTGTTCGACCGGTATTTGCATCACGTTGGTCGAGCCAAGCGCCAGAGTCATTTTTGCCAAATCCAAATGGTAAGTAAAAAAATGCATTCTTTATTTCTTGGTATCAATTCAATAGCATGCGAATGTTCAGTTGTAGGTCGATGGTCACAAGAGACGGGCTCAGATAATGAGGTCATTCATCCGCATTCAACGAGTTCACCGAATCCATTGCCATTGCCACATCCGGATCTAACTGATACGAGCTACTTGAATCGACAAGCGCACAATCAAATGGGCGTTCCATCACCATCGATCCTCGAAAATATGCACGAAAACTATAACATACGAACGAATCCAGCGCAAATGATCTACGACAACGATCGCTACAAGTACGAACTCGAGCATGATAATTTGTATGGCCAAAATAAAGACTATCAAGCCAATTACAGTGGTGGTGGTAGCATTGTTGGCATTGCTGACACGGCATACAATTTAAATAGCAACTATCATCCAAAGTCATCCGATACACGATATACAGCCGCTGCAGCGGGAGTTCTAAGCGATTCCGAATATCCGAACAATCAAATCATCAATCAAATGATTCCACAGCACACAAATCATTTCCTGTACGATAAACAAAGATCACCATACATGGGCTCAAAGACTGAACTGCCATATATGTCAAAGGATCGGCTGTCGAATAACATGTACAGCCCAACACCACGCGAAAGTCACTACGGACTGAAATCACCCGGTTTGTACAGCGGCGCCGAATCCGTGCATAGCGTTCATTCAATGCTGAAAAATGATTATCAGGTAAGGGATATTTTGATTGCTCAGAATTGATTTCGAAGAAAAATGTTGGTTTCAGAAATTTCGAAGCCAAATCTTTGCCGGAAAAAATTGTCTTCAAATTCTCACACCCAAAAAAAAAATCCTCCGAAATCATGCATCGATTTCATCAATTCGTGTTAATTCAACCGTTTTATTAATTCTCAATTTCTTTGATTCCAGCAACGTACCACGGACTATCATTCAGACCGAATGTCTGAAACATCCGACAAAAATGGCTATCATTTTCCCTACACTGCCGAAGAGGACCATCTGACCATGATGTCACGCAATCAAGCAATATCATCGAATGATATAAACTATCCATCAGTGTTGTCGACCAATAAGTTGTCATCGCGGCAAAGTTCACGAACATCATCGCCGCCGGGTGTGACTGGCATTCAGCCACTTGCACCACTCACCAGCATCACAGACACAAGCGAGTAAGTGTCTCTTTCTCTTTTCTTCTTAATTTATCCTCTTCCATCTCTCATTTTGAATCACAATTAATGAAAATATCTCAATGTTTTCAAACGATATTACCAAAAAAACAAAACCAGAAAAATCCAACATCCTTTTGGTCATGTTGTACATAACTCGTTATCATTGTGATTTCAGTTAATTTGTTTAAGTTTGAATCATTATTTCCCAATTTTATCATTATCATTACAACCTTACTTAACAGATGGTGCTGGGAACGGTTAAAACGAATCTAATTTCTTTACTTTCTGTCCTCTTTCTTTTTCAAAATTGAACATTTATGTCTGTGACCGAAAACAAACGCGTTGAATTTTTTATTCAACCATACTATTTTGGATTTGATCAAAACAAACAATTTTTGGTTTAACTTACGAAAAAAAAAAACAATTAAAATCATACAAAAATCATCATCGCATTTCATGCCCATAATTCATGAATCATTTCAGATCGGAGGTAAATTTTTCTGTTTGCGACTGTATCGACGAATCGAGTGATTTGCACTTTAGGCTTTAGCGCTCGAAAGAGTTTTCGCACCAATTCCGTTTTTTTTTCTTTGCCTCTTTGGAAAGCGGCTTATGTTCTGTGTGAAGTAGATTTTTTAACTTGGAGTTTTTTTAATGGGAGTTTTAGTTTTCGATGATTTTCTTCATTTTTGTTTGTTTGTAGCTTCATGCAGCATGTCATAGCGAAAAAAATCGAAGTAGATGTTTTAGAGTGTGCATACTAATAACTCGTTTGATGCACTTTCATAACCTTCAAACCTTAAATTTTGCACTTTTCCTGCAGCTTTCTTTGACAATTTACATATTTTATTGTTTTATTTGACATTTTAATTGCAATTTTCGTTTTTTTCTTTATGTTTTACTCAGAAATGTTGACGTATTCAACATTAGAGTGGTCAAAGAGCACTTGTTCGTTCATTCGTTCGTTCGTTCGTATGCTAAAATATTCGCTTATTCCTTCGTTCGTTCGTCCGTAGGTGACAATTCGAAAAAGAGTTCCAGCTCATGCTACAACAAGCAGAGAAAGTCATTTTGTTGCTGTGAGGCCTGATCTGAGTTGAATTATTGATTGTCTAAAGTGTTATTTTAACGCATACACGCTGCCAAATTTTCATTGTTTGCAAAATCACCCTTAGTAAAATTGAGATACATCATTGATGGATCACTGCAAGCGACGACAACTGTGTGCATTTTACAGTGCAATTTTGCACTGTGAATGCGTTAAAATAATGCTTCAGGCACCTAAGTCAGCGAATTCAGCTCAGCTTAGGCATGCTCAGCAGCGAAATAGCAAGATTTTTGCTGGCTTTGGCATGCTTTTTTCCAAAATTCCAAAATATCACCAACGAACAAACAAGCGCTCGTTGACCACTCTATTTAAACAATTTCTACCTATTTGTGTGGGCCGTTATACCGCAACGCTCTTAGCGTTTTGTGGCTGCTTATAATTTTTTTTTTTTTTTCAATTTTGCTCTTTTTTTGTTTTCAATCTTCAATTAGCTTCCAAACTTTTGTTCTTTTCTGACTGCATTTATCAAAAACATGTAAAACTAATTTTGATTTTCATTGCATTGCAGGAGGAAAGGCTATATTGATGATGACGAGACAACGGTATAAATCATTCGAATCACGGCCGAATGGCCCCAATAAGACTGCCGCATGATGACTCTCATTTAGCCGAATAGTCAAAACGAAATCGAATACAATTTCTGTCTTCATTTTATTTTCATTGATATTGAACAAATGCTCTCAATCCAATTAGGTTGAAAACGCCGACGTTGCTTTCTTTCTCATCGAAGTATTTATTTTAGGGAAGAAAAAAAAAAAACGAAAGAAAAATTGTAAAAATGAGCTTTTAACACTCCAGAATAGTGACAATTCGATTACACATTTTATTGAAAGTGAAAGAAATGAGTGAAGGAACAAACAAAGTGAATCAAAGAAGGAAACAATATTTGTGTCATATTTCATTTGCATCGTTGCCGTATATTCCATTTGGAACAATTCGAACATTGAATTTTTCTTTCCATTGAAACAATTTTTAAACTGAAAAGCAAACATTTGAGAAATGAAAAAGGATTCTAAATTTCAATTTGATCACTATTTCAGTTCCGGAAATTCCGAAAATGAATTTTCAATAGTGTTCAACAACAATTTGACTGCCGAACGAAGCAAATGCTCCGGCAATTCATCAATTTTAGTTGATAAACATGAACCCGGCATTTTTAGTAAGTTAAGTTTGAAGCGATTAAAATTTTTTTTTTTCGAAGCGATTCGCACGAAATAGCATTCCAAAACGAGTATTTATGTGTAAATAAGACATTAGATTTTTTTAGCCTAATTTTTAAGATGGATCGAATCATGCCATGAATATTTTATTTCATTCTCAAATTAAAAAAAAAACATTCGTTTTAGTTTCAAACTGGAGATTCCAATTCTTTTCAATTTCGTCGATCAATGGCCAAAGTGTTGGCCATTTATTATCGAAAGAGACAAAGGAAAATCATGACAAAAACACAAAAAGGAGTGCCTCAACGTTTTGTTGAAATATATTTAGTAATTTTTGGTTGAGAGCGCTACGAATTCTCTCTGTGAGAATTTCGAAGCAGAAACAAAATCTATCACCTCAAATTTATGTTAGAACAACTAAATTCAATTTTTATTGAATAGTAATCGAGATTGTAGGGAAATTTGAATGCATCTCAGCGGCAGAGCAGGCAGCAGCAGCAACACACACCACTCTGTCACACACATACATACACTTTTAGTTTCATTTTATAACAAATTTTATGTGATTTTTATTTGTAAATTATTCGCTTTAATCTTTTGTTTTAACTCTTTTGTTGTACATTTTCTCTGCAGCATTTCGTGTTTTATTTTATTTAATTTTTTTTATTGAAGAATAAAACAACGGAATAACATAGACGTTTTTCATTGCATTTAGACATATTCAGTGTATTTGAATGACATTTAGGACAACACGACACACGAAATCATTGTGTCGGACCCATATAATTTTTAAATAAATTTAGATTTTAATTATATTATACTAATTCAATAAAGAAATGATAATTTATTTCCAAATGGTGTAAACTATTTCAAGCGAGTTTTATTTCCCTGTTATTGAAACAGGCTGTTTTGCAAGATTTTTGTTCGTAAGTTTTGTGCATTTTTTGATTTTCTGGGTCAACAGCAGAGATTCGTCACATCGTATAGGATCAAATGATTGGAAAGGAGATTTGCTTAAAAGTGAAATGGGATACAAATTCATAAGCCGGTAACATAAATAAACAATGAGCATTTGATGGAAGTTATTTTTTTTCGAAGAAAACGAAAATTGTGCCCAATATAAGCTACACGAAAGTGACGCCCCTTCAAAGTGCCTCTGATTTCCATTTTACACGCAAAGGAGTTCGAACTAACAAATTATAACAACAAATACTACTCAACTCTCGGAATAAAATGATATTTTTTCCATTTTCGTCATATAATTCACTTTATAATACATATACACTTGATTATTGAAAAAAGAACTCAAATTTATTTACAACTAAAATTTCTTTTCATATCATTTCATCTGTTTGTTTCGATGATGTTTCAATAAAATAAACTCCGTGGCGTTTCAATACATTCATATTTGCTATTTTCTATGGTTTCATCCAAATTATTTTAGCGTCAGTATAAAAAATGAAGATAGACTTTAGTTTAACCAAAAAACTAAACGAATTTATTCAAAGGGAAAAAAAATCAAAGTGGCAATCCATGAAAATCTCCTAGAATTTTCACTAATTTAAAAACAGTAGAACAAAAATAACATGAATTCATTGCAAAAACGGTAGTAAATCACCCAATGCCGGAAGATATGTATCTGGTATAAGTTTTTTATCATCTTCAATGTTGCTCTTTTGCCATTTTCGAACCTCTTCCAATTTATTCACGCCGGTGCCAACGAGAAGTGTTTGAAATCCGCAATTAAATCCGAAAAGGATGTCATACTTGACTGAATCTCCAATCATAAGTGTTCGTTCGGGGTTGATTTTCCCACCGGCAAGAAGAGATTTGCACATGTTTGGATTTGGTTTGCCGATAATTGTAGCTTTGCGTCCACTTGCAACTTCGATAGCACTGATATTTGGCCCTGTACCTGGCACAATAGCACCATTATTAGTTGGGTATGCTTCATCAAAACTTGTGCCAATAAACAAGCATTCGGGATCTTTGATATAATTAGCGGCCAACAAAATCTTTGAGTAGTTTATATTCGTATCAAAACTCACGACCACTGCACCCACTTCACTGTCCAATTTAATGCCATTGGACACTGCATCAAGCACATCGACCTTTTCAGAACAATCTGAATCAATCCAACTTATTCCAAAGTGATCAAATTCTTGTGATATTCCACGTGATCCAATTAAATACACCTTTTTGTCGAATTTTAAATCGTGCAGATATTTGGCCGTAACATATGACGCTGACAAAATTTCCTCTTGCTCAACCTCATAGCCACGATCCACACCGGCCGCTTGCAATTCAGCTCGCGTTTTCACCGGCATATTTGTCACAAAGAACACTTTTTTACCCAACTCTTGCAGACGCTTTGTCACCTCAAGACTACCTGCGACCAATTCCCGACCAATCCACTGGACACCTGAGAAAAAATCAATTCATTAAAAGTAATCGAATTTTGGGCGTTAATTTTGTTCTAGTTTTGTGTGTCTATTAAATTTATTTTTTCACGATTGTTAATTAAATGTGACTAATTGGAATGGATTCCGAGCGAAATTGGAAACTAAATCGAATTTTTTCGTTTTTTTCCATTATTGTTTTGATTTTTTAATTGATTCACGAATCCATGGCTCAGAGTTTCTCAATTCCATGGCACAATTTCATTTCAGAGTTATTGATAATTCTATGTTAAGTTAATTTCATTCTTAATTTTCATTATGACCGATGAAAAAACGTACCACCAGGTCTACAGCTATGTTTTGCCATGTTCATATGGTATAAACTAGGTAGGAGTAGTGTCGAGTAATATTCAGAATTTGTGCCCAATCTTATATGGAATTAATATACAATTTTGGTCTAGCTTCGGCGGAAATTTGGCTTAGACCTAGTCTCCCCCATATGAACATGGCAAAACATAACTGTAGATCTGGTCTACGTTTTTTCATGGATAATTTTGCTCAAACTGAAACAAAATCAGTGAATAATCGCACAAAAACTGTGGATTTTCTTCAAAACAACCGAAAAAATCTACGAACGAAGAGAAAAACGAAACAAACAAAAAAGAAATGCTTCAAAAAAATATTTACCATCGCAATCGGAGAGAACGGTATCGAAGGAATCGATCCAAGCGTCGATTGACTGGCGTGGGAGCGTTGTGAGGTTGGTTGCGGTTTGTTTAAACATCTCCAGCGTTCTGTTGCTCAAAATTGAATAATTTCAAACTCTCGTTTGATCAAAGTCGACACAAATTGCAATTTGATGTGCATATTAGTGTTTCAATTGTGGAGCCGCACACTTGCAATCAATTTACTACAAATTGAAAAATAAATCATATTTCATTTGTTATCCATACACACAATTCTTATTGATAGCCCAAGATAAAGATGTGTTTTTTCTGTGTGTGTGTGTGTGTGTGATGACTTCTATACATAGATATACGATTTCATTACCGTCATTTGCATGGCTTCCCAATGGTTTCGAAAACACGTTGAAAAAAATAATTACGTCGAAAAAACACACACTTATGTTCGTTAAACACTCAGTTCTTGAAAAAAACGACACAGAATCACACACTTCTACGCGTTACAGAATATACTCATTTACACAGAGGTTGGTTGCACATAATTTTTTTTATATAAATTTCAAATATCAAATAAATTTATCCGATATTTTTCATGCGTTGTGTTATTCTAATTCATTTGCCAGCTATTTATCGCTGGAATGAGATTTTCGTTTTGTTCATTTACCGTTATTTCTCAACAATTCTGCCACTGTGTCACTACATAGTATATATAGTCCATAAGAAATGTGCAGAGACGAAAATGTTCGCCATTT